TGGTTTACAACATAATTATGCAGGCAACAACTTGTTGCCCAGAGAGCTGGGTACTCATTTTTCCCACCTCAGAAAGATGGGAATCTGAGTCAGCCTTGAGACAGCTGCCTGAACATGTTGGGATAGGACTCATGTTGTGAACTGAGGCTTGCCTGCAGTGGTTGTTTAGTATCTTCCATGCGGCAGCCTTTCAGGTATTAGAAGACAAACTCCATTCTTGACCAACGGTCATGCTGACTGAGGATAAATATAATTGTTTGTCATCACGTGGTGAACCTTTACAGGGTTTTCTATGCAAAGAGTACTCAGAGGTGGTTTGTTGTTGTGGTTTAGTCATTAAGTTGTGTCCGACTCTTCGTGACTCCATGGATCAGAGCACGCCAGGCCCTCCTGTCTTCCACTGTCTCCCGGAGTTGGGTCAAATTCATGTCGGTTGCTTCGATGACCCTGTCCATCCATCTCGTCCTCTGTCATCCCCTTCTCCTCTTGCCTTCACACTTTCCCAACATCAGGGTCTTTTCCAGGGAGTCTTCTCTTCTCACGAGAGGGCCAAAGTCTTGGAGCCTCGGCTTCAGGATCTGCCCTTCCAGTGAGCACTCAGGGTTGATTTCCTGCAAGATGGATAAGTTTGTTCTCCTTGCAGTCTAGGGGGCTCTCAAGAGCCTCCTCCAGCACCACAATTCAAAAGTAGTACCACAGTTTAACGACTGCACAATGAGGGTCAGATCAAAATTCAGTTCAGCAAATCTGACTTAAAAGATTTTCAGAATAACTTTTTAGTAACAAACTTGTCACTATATGTTTCTATGGAGAGACAGAGAGAGAGAAAGAGTGGCTGAAATCCGATGTTTAGCATACTAAGTTACACATGAGTAGGCCCAATGAATCAGTGGTGATGCAGTGAGTTAATGTGTCCAGTACTTCTGTTAACTTAAATGGGTCTCCTTTATTTGGGACTTGCTATGGTGAAGTAAGTCACAACTGAGGGAGACCCATCTGAATCAATGGAACACACCAGATCCCTACTGATTGAATGGGTCTACTAAACCACAACAACAGTGATGATGTTGTTGATGATGATAACACAGCCTTCCATGTGGTGGTGGCAGCAAACATGCAAAACAATTCTTGATGGCTCTAAGGAGCCTTACGATCAAGTGAATCATCTGTTCTGTTTACTGCCAGGGAGGTTCAAATAAGAAGTTGTTTCTGGATTCCTTTGTCAGCTACCGCCGTCTTTAGAGCAGTTGCTGCAAACATCTTAACAGAGTTGCCTTAGGGCAAAATTCATTTTAACGAAAAGCCAAGCCTATAATGGAATGTCATCAACAGGAAGGAGGACATGTTTTTATCCTTTTTTTAGTCTTTTAGGGGAAAGGTGATAGCACGGTGGTTGAAAGATGTACAGTATTTATATGTGCTTGTAAATTTTCTTGCCCTTGGCAAAAAAACAACAACAGGAGGCGGTTGTCAAATGGTGCAAGTTGTTTTGTTTTGGGTTCATGCATGAGAACAGAGCAACAACATTAGCGAAAACAAATGAAATGAAACTTGACTACAATGTATTTTGGGTCCAAACTTCGTGTTTCGCACAAAAGTATGCGTTTTTGTGCAAAATACGGTTTTGTACAAAAACAGCCTTTGCAATTTTTTTTTTTGCAAAGATTCCCTAAAAATGCAGACGAGACCAAAAAGCTCTTGCCCAGCGATCATTCTTAGCTAAGCGAATACAGCAAATGAAGCTTTATGTCCTTCTGTAGTAATACACAAGCTTTATATGTGGAGAGCTCCATATACGTTCTTGAGCTTCTTCTGAGACGCTTACCTTAAAACCAGGAAAGCAGCAGTCAGTGAAGCCTAGAGGGGGAAAAAATCTTCACCTTCATCATCATCATTTTCTTAGAACTGCAGAATTGAAAGGGGCTCTGGATTATTGGGTCCAGCCCGTATCAAGAAGGCATAACGGGGAATCAAACTCCCAACCTCGGGCTCCGCAGCTTGATACCCAAACCACTGAGCTCTCCAGCAATTTTGGGGGACCCATTCTGAATTATAGCTCTCATCAGCTTTCACTACAATGGCTATTGATCATCCCCAACTCAAGATGTAGACAGTAATGATGGCCCCAGTCAGTTTAAAGCAGCTGCCATCCTAAGAAGTAATTCTAATCATTGAGATAAAATTAACATTTTTAAGCCTCTAGCTTCAACTCTTGTTAAGAAATGAAGCATGCAGCGGGGCTAGCAGCCTTCTTAAATACAGACATTTGTGTCTTCAGAATTGTTGTTTATTTCACTTCGCTGAAAACACCCTGGCTTATTGTTGTGCCTGCCGAGAAGGCTTTGCACCAGTCCGTTCGCCTCGTGGATGTCCAGGATTATGAAATGCCTGTATTTCTTTGCAATTGACATAAAGAGGTGTTGCAAAGATTCCCTAAAAATGCAGACGAGACCAAAAAGCTCTTGCCCAGCGATCATTCTTAGCTAAGCGAATACAGCAAATGAAGCTTTATGTCCTTCTGTAGTAATACACAAGCTTTATATGTGGAGAGCTCCAGATACGTTCTTGAGCTTCTTCTGAGACGCTTGCCTTAAAACCAGGAAAGCAGCAGTCCAGAACTGTAGAGTTGGAAGGGGTTCAAGGTTGGGGGACCCATTCTGAATTATAGCTCTCATCAGCTTTCACTACAATGGCTATTGATCATCCCCAACTCAAGATGTAGACAGTAATGATGGCCCCAGTCAGTTTAAAGCAGCTGCCATCCTAAGAAGTAATTCTAATCATTGAGATAAAATTAACATTTTTAAGCCTCTAGCTTCAACTCTTGTTAAGAAATGAAGCATGCAGCGGGGCTAGCAGCCTTCTTAAATACAGACATTTGTGTCTTCAGAATTGTTGTTTATTTCACTTCGCTGAAAACACCCTGGCTTATTGTTGTGCCTGCCGAGAAGGCTTTGCACCAGTCCGTTCGCCTCGTGGATGTCCAGGATTATGAAATGCCTGTATTTCTTTGCAATTGACATAAAGAGGTGCCTGTACCTCCCAAGGGTATGTGTGTGTATATATATATATATATCTTGCAGTTGGACTGAAAGAGAGAGAAAGAAAGAGAGAGAACCATATCTATGTGATTGTTTCCCAGGAAAAGGTATTATAAATGGTGGTGACTTCTTAGTATGGTAATAATGGACTGTTATTGATTACTTGGTCCTGTTCCGATAGGAATCACAGAACTGTAGAGTTGGAAGGGGTTCAAGGATCACTGAGTACAACCCCCTGAAAAAGTAGGGCATCTACTGCTAAAGCTTTCTTGATAGATGGACGTCTATCTTCTGTTTTCATATGTTCCTACCAGGTTTTGAGATAGTCCGTCCCATTGTCAAGCTGCTGTTACTCTCAGGAATTAGTTGAATTGTCCTTTTTTGTGATTTAAACCCATTGCTTTAGATCCTATTCTCTGGAGCTACAGAAAACAAGTTTGTTCTGTCTCCCATGTGACAGCCCTTCCAGTGTTTAAAGACGGCTATTGTCTCACTCTTCAGCCTTGTCTTCTCCAGAAATCCAGTCCCCATTTACTGGACAGGTCTTCATAGGGCTGGCTTTCCAAATCTTGGTCACTCTCCTCTATGTATGTCAATGGTTTCCAGATCCTTTACTATCTTGGTCACTCTCCTCTATGTATGTCAACAGGATATAGAAATCATAATATTTTTTGAATGAAACAGCCCTTGGTCGCCTTGGTAGAGAACTCACACCCACACAACGAGAATGCAGCGCTGTGATTTTTCATGGCCCTCTTAAGGACCAACAGCTGTGTTATCCATCCAAGTTGCCACTCCAGGAGAGGAGTGGGTGGAGGTGTAAACTTCAGACAGCATGGCCTAATGGTAAGGGATCCTGGCTGTTGCAGACACAACCATCTGAGAGATCAAAAGGGTCCCACCTCTAAGATACATAAAACTGTGAGAAGTCACCTCAAAGTTTGGGCTGATTTGCCATTAGTATATGCATAAATTTCCCTCTGCCTCGTGTTTCTTGCAGTGTCCCGAGAAAACTGTACACACCCCGACAAGGTATCTGTATGCAGCTTTGGAATGGGATGATGGCAAGCATGTTGAGGCTTAGTCCTGATGCGACATAATAATATACAGGTGGTTAAACTTAAGATGCGAGGCCCATGTTGAAAAGGATTGTGTTCCCCCTGAAGGAACTGCAGGAGATGTTGATGACTGGAGATACCATCTTTCCACCTTGATAGAAGAGCACACTTAGTTACCGCCATCTGTACTGTGGTCGCACCCTGCCTTGATGCAAAGTGCACGCACTTAGGAATGAGCACCATGCTGGCATCCAAATGGGGTCAAGTGTTTCGAAAGTTTAAAATGATGGAGTTAGCATCTGTAACCATTGGCATGTCCACCTGGGCACCTGAATACTATAAAATATTTTGATGAGCAAGGTGAAAAGACGGATGTTGCATTCAACAGAATAAACCCAGGTGGCCCCAGGAGTGCTGAATGCGACCCCTCTCTCATCTGTCACCTTCTGAGTAGTCTTTTAAGGTTGGAGACTGGGCTTCAAGAACCTGGACTTTATCCCTGAGGCCAACGCTCCGGCTGTTTCGCTTGCACAAATAGTGGATATGCCTTTCCTTCCTGTTCTGCTGCCCACTTGTGAAAATCTGATGGGGCCACTTGTCCTTTTGGAAATATAAGAGGTTCTCTAAGAGTATCAATCCAACTTTATCAACTCCAGCCACAACAGTGGTCTGAAAGCTGTTGTTGTGATACACACACACAACCCTGAAATCATATGAGATGGGTGTTCACGGATGTAACGTATATATATTTTACAGGGAGTTGTCTGATTGCTGTGAAAGTTGTAATGAATTCCATCTCGCTGAAAAATCTTCAATGCGTTCAAAATTTGCTTTTTATTTATATATATAAAACTATGGTAAATGTTAAAACGGAGGTGCCTGTATTTTTTCTTTCTTTCAGTTTGGCAACAACAATAACTACATGAATATGGCAGAAGCCAATAACGCATTTCTTACTGCCAATGAGGTAGGTGTGTGATTTCTCTTTCCCCTCTTCACTCTCGTTCTCCTGTTTGCTTTGATAATTTTTACAGATGTCTCGATGGCGGGCGAGCAAAAATGTTGAGTTTTGGGTGTGTTTTACGGAGCACAAAATAAAGACTTTAATGAAAAAGAAAATAACTTGACGGGTCGCCATTACCGGTCAATTTAGCTGTCTGTTAAGATGGTTACTTACCTAGCGTGTCAACAGAAACAAATGTCGTGGGTTCTTTTTCACCCGTATATGTGGGGGAAACAAAAAGAAAAGGAATGTAACCACAAAGGAACAAGTCAAAAGCACAGTAGGTGTACATCTTTCCAGCAAACAGAGTAGCGATCACTAGAAGCTAATGCGCTAATTATGGTCATTGATACAAACATTTTATTTTTAATTTGTGTTCTTAACCGCATTTCCCAAACAAAGGGGGGGAAACGGTGTGGTTGGTCATTGTTTTCTAGGAGAGAAAACAGGAAAGAGATCTGGGGGCAGAGAGGAGGGTTTCAACAGCAGGCGGAAGCCAAAGTGGCCGAATTGAATTGATGTGGCTTGCCTAGGTCATGGGGGTGATGTGTTTTGGCCTCTATGTTTGGAAGGAGGTAGGGAAAGGTTTTCCAGCCATGGTGTGTTGGTCGCTGTGCTTACAACCTCTTGTCCCCTTCATGATCATCATCGAAAGAACAGCCACACCGTGGTGGTGACCTCCATTCGAGATTGACCTGTGCTTTTGTTGGCCCAACCACCATCAAAGGCTGGGTGGGGTTCTTATCTAGTGATATGCCTGCTTCCCCTTTTTCTCCTGGCATACCACTTCAACAGAAATCTGGGATCAGTTTTAAAAAGCACCTGATTTGGGCTTAAATTGGACACTGTGCAGAAAAAAAACCCACATTATATAAGACGTGTTAAAAAGAAACTATCGACAATATTGACCTTTTCACTTTAAATCCAGTAGTTTTCATTTCCCGTGGTCCAATAAATCTGTTCCTTCCCCACCCCCCTGTGTGTTATGAAAACTAAAGGAGAGAAAAGATTGATTGGAAAAATGGTGTAGTAAATTGTATGTTCCTATATACGTAGTATATATTTTTTAGCACCTTCTAAAAACAATCTCTCTTTCTCTCTTGCTACTCTCTCTCTCTCTCTCTCTCTCTCTCCAGCAAGAGAGCTTAGATAAGGCAAGATTGCTTGGCACAAGCTTCAGTGTTAGTTGTGATAATGAACACAAACCCCCATCTGTAATGACAACATGATGTTTCATTCTGTAGAATTTCATTCCTCTATTTGAATCAAACATTGATGAAAGCTCTACTGCCAGCAGCTGTTCAAAGACAATTTAATTCCAGCTGTGATAATTCACCGTGTCAGACATTGGCTGTTATATGTTGATACAACAGCTCTCCAGATTTGCATTTTTATCAAAAGGAACAAATGTTACGAACATTTCAGTGCAGATGGCATTTAACCGCAAACACAGTTTGTGGGGGGTTTTTTTGGTGTGTGTGTGTGTGTGTAGAGGATTGATGTGGCGTTCCCCCCCGTTCAAGAAATCCAAGAGAGGAATGTATGAAAAGTTAATAGCACTTAAAATTGTGATTGGTAGCATAACCCGTTAAAAACATTATACTGTTCTGAATATAATAGGACCTTTCTCCACTATCAAATTCGATGACACTTAGGCACTTCTTATGACATGAATAGTTCCAGTGGTTCAGAATAAGACTACTTCAACATCAGCCTCCCACCCTGCCACTGCCCTAGTTTAGATTACATTCATTTTCTCCATTTAACCATACATTGCTTTCAACAATCATCAAATGAAATGCAGTTTGTTGCTTTCCTTTCTCTCTTCTCCTTGGAAAATACATAGTAGCGTACATGTGACTCCTTCTTGCTGCCATCCCAACCACTATGACAGACATGCAGATTACCAATATGATTTGTATCCCTTTTAGATAAGATACTGTACAGTTCTGTCCTAAATGGGTAGAAGTGGGGTGAATGTGTTGGTATTTTTTATTTTTTTTGCATGGAACATTCCAGGGATGGCACTTGATAGCAAGTGGTGGGACTTGCTATCAAGTTGGACTTAAGTCACATTGGCAACTCAACTCAGATTTGACTTGGGTTTTTGTTTTCAGTGATTCTGTCAACCTGTAATTCAGAACCCACCTTGGACTTGGGACTTGGTACCAAAGACACAGATCAACCTGTAATTCAGAACCCACCTGCCCTGTCCCTTTTTTCTGGCGGGGGCGGGAGGAAGCTTATTTTCAATAGGGACTCAGACTTGGGACTTGGTACCAAAGACACAGCCTTGGGACTTGGGACTTGGTCCCAAGGACTTGGATTTGGGACTCTGTACCAAAGACTCAGACTTGGGACTTGATCCTAAGGACTTGGACTTGGGACTCGGTACCAAAGACTCAGACTTGGGACTTGGTACCAATGATTCAGACTTGGGACTTGGGACTTGGTACCAAAGACTCAGGGACGTGGTGGCGCTGCGGGCTAAACCGCAGAAGCCTGTGCTGCAGGGTCAGAAGACCAAGCAGTCGTAAGATCGAATCCACGCGATGGAGTGAGCGCCCGTTGCTTGTCCCAGCTCCCGCCAACCTAGCGGTTCGAAAGCATGCAAATGCGAGTAGATGAATAGGGACCACCTCGGTGGGAAGGTAACAGCATTCCGTGACCATGGAAGATTGTCTTCGGACAAAAACGCTGGCTCTATGGCTTGGAAACGGGGATGAGCACCGCCCCCTAGAGTCGAAAATGACTGGACAAAAATTTACCTTTACCTTTACCAAAGACTCAGACTTGGGACTTGGTACCAAAGACTCAGGGACGTGGTGGCGCTGCGGGCTAAACCGCAGAAGCCTGTGCTGCAGGGTCAGAAGACCAAGCAGTCGTAAGATCGAATCCACGCGATGGAGTGAGCGCCCGTTGCTTGTCCCAGCTCCCGCCAACCTAGCGGTTCGAAAGCATGCAAATGCGAGTAGATGAATAGGGACCACCTCGGTGGGAAGGTAACAGCATTCCGTGACCATGGAAGATTGTCTTCGGACAAAAACGCTGGCTCTATGGCTTGGAAACGGGGATGAGCACCGCCCCCTAGAGTCGAAAATGACTGGACAAAAATTTACCTTTACCTTTACCAAAGACTCAGACTTGGGACTTGGTACCAAAGACTCAATTGGGACTTGGTACCAATAATTCAGACTTGGTACTTGGTACTTGGTACCAAAGATTCATACTTGGGACTTGGTGCCAAGGACTTGGACTCAGACGTGGGACTCAGACCCAAAGATTTGCCAACATCCCTGGAACATCCCTCTCCTAAAAAGGAACCTCACTACCTCCTCCATGGGTTGCTGTTGATTTTGTTACACCCAAGGATTAAGTGTTAACATTTGAACTTTGAACTTATCACCCTACAAGTAGATTTAACGACCCAGCACAATTACAAGGGAATATTGGTTGAGGGAGGTTTCTTTGAATTTTGTGTGTGTTGCGTTTAGAGAGGACACCTCGACTCTGAGAATAGATTGTGCCTCTTTTTAAAAGATAGTGTCCCGTGATGAGTGTTGCAGGATTATTATGGGGGCACCATTAGAGTTGAGCCATTGACCTTTGTCATGTGGCTGTGATCCAGTTTGGGGGAGGGGGAAAAATACTAAAGCACCTTAAATATTTATTGAAATAATATTTCAAGTGTTAATTACTGTGGTAATGAAAACAGCCAAATGCCACATATCAGGAATGACTGTTTATCCATATTGTTAATGTGATATGTTAGATTTCATTAAGCAGTAATGGGGTAGCAAATGAGTCGCAAATTACCACCGCATCTGTTACTAGACTGCGTTTGTGCCAAGCTGAACTGCAAACGTAGCCATCGGGTTATGTTCATTAGCCGTTTCACCTTCCATGGCCAACCCATGCTTTTCGGGTTGGCGCACTTCACAACGCCCCCTGTAGGATGACCCACACCCCTTTAAAAATAAAACGAAACTTCCCTAAATGAAGGGCAGTGCTTTCAAAATAAGAATTAAGTTTCAGTTTCTCCCCCCCCCTTTGTGTATGGAGACGACCCAGGTCTCAGAAGGCAGTGTTGTGATGCTCACAGACTGTCTGTTCGCTCGTCATATCTGGTGTGAGACCAATAATGACAGCTGACAGGTTTTATAGGCAAGTAAAGGGTTCCCCCCCTCCCTCTCTCTTATGTTTCAGCTTCCATTTTCTCTCAAGCGGTTATTAATTTATATCATCATTAACCGTTTGAAGGATGACAATTTCCAGCACTTAATGAGATCTTTCATCGAACATATCATTTTAAAATTAACTGGCATTAAGTCAGTCTCTTTCAGGCAATGTAAATCATGCTCCTTCTCCTGCCACTTCCACCTTTCCAGCAAAAGACGTAGACTAACATTAACCGCACAGAAACCAAATGCAGTGTGGTGTGCCCCCCAAAAACAACACATGTGGGCTGCAGTCCAATGCCCCCCTTTTGCCCTCTTACTGGGGAAATGGAAGATAACCCTGTGTTTTCTTCTATTTCCCTCTGTAACGGCTCCAATAACCTGCCAGGATTTGCAAGAGTGCATGTCTATGAATGGTGTTACACAGAAGAAACCAAGGTTGGTAGGCGATGAGTCAAATCCGTATAGAGCAGTGGTTCCCAACCTTGGGTTAGCCAGATGTTCTTGGACTGCATTTCCCAGAAGCCTTCACCAGCAGTTGTGCTGGTCGGGGTTTCTGGGAGTTGCAGTCCAAGAATACGTGGGTTACCCTAGGTTGAGAACGTGGGATACAGAGGAAGCAACAGTGAACAAAAAGATTCACTGTGTGGTAACAGAGGAACATTGACCATTGACTGTACACACAACTGCCCTGTGTTTACAAGGGCACTACTTCACTTCATAACTGAAAAGTAGCAGCAGGATTCCCACTCTTGCTTTTGGTGGCCACCCGGCAACCATTGATCCTATTTATATCATATTTATATCCAGCCTGGAGGTAGCCCAAGTGGTCATTCTTGGTTCCAGAATGGTCAACCCACTCATAGTTATCTTTATCACGACCCTGTGACTGGTAAGGTAGTGACTGGCCTAAATTCACCCAGTTAGCTTCATGGTAAAGCAAAGATCGAACCTGGGTTCTTCGGATCTAGAACGATTACCCCTCACTGCCGGATGGTTCTCATTGACCATAGCTGCTCTGACCTCCTGTAGCTTATGAAAGCTACAGTTGGAGTTGGAGATATTGTGCCTATATTTTCAGAAGAAGGAATCCCCCAGGTTAGTTGTGTGTGGGTAAGAACATGGGAAGAGCTCTCTTGGCTCCAAGAAAGCATCGGTTTTGACACACACACCCCCAGCAAAGACTAGGGCTAATTTCATACCTCTTCTCAAATAAACAAATTTTCTAAGAAATGTATCATTGATTTGTGGACTTTTGTTTACAATTTTTCCTACACTATCCATGACAGTGCTTAGCCTGAGGAATTTGATTTCATCCATGAAAGCTTTCTATTTATTTACTAGACACACTGTGTCAAGGTTAGACAGAATAGATTATAACTTTAAGATACTTTTTTTTTAAAAAAAAGTCAGATCATGTGATTTAACCAGCAAGTAGTAATATTTGCTATCTAAATCGTATGACAACAGCAAAAAAGACTACAGCAACAAATAAGATAAAAAAAACCCCTACTCAGATGATCAGAATAAATCAGGGAGTTTTGTAGTGATGAGAACGACGTTTTCCATTAGAACAAGGCAATTTTTAATACAAAAATGTGCCCTTTGCTCACTTGTGCAAAGTGTGCGAAATTCGGTGGACCGCTGCTTAAATGAACGAGGATTAATGAAAAAGAGAGACTAAATGAGGTGAGAATGCATAAGACTTTAAAATTCCCCTAAAGGTGACCAGAATGGTAGTTATGTGCCATTTCCACAGAGAGGGGCCACCAGAGGAAATGTCCTGTCCACACAGTTGCCCAGGGGATGGGCCAGACAAATGGAAGGTCAAGATTTAATAAGCAATGATGTTCTCTTGACTGTCCTTTAAAGGTAGATTCCTCTGCATCATTTGACAATAATGTCAGAAATGTGAATACAAAAATTATATGTGATGAAGGATCTAGCATGAAGGCATGCGTGTTTGAACATTCAGATATGTGCCTTTTCCTCCATGCAATGCCAAAAACAAGCCTTCCCATTTCAAAACCATTGTCCTGGTTTCTCAACAATCATCTTTACACCAAAGAGTCCATTATACTCTGTACACAGAATAAGAGGGAACTTGAAGCCGACATCTTAATATTTCACATTTATGGGTTGTAAAAGAGTTCTGAAGTCTTCACGGCCAGATTAATGTGGTGTGTGCGCTCCCAAAATTGTCAGCATTTTATCGAGGCCTTAGAATAATGCGCAAGCTCTTTGTGCTGTTTTGTTAACATATCCTTTCAATAAAATGGCAGTCTGTTATGTGGTGGGGGGAGGGAGAGACTTTCACAAAAGAAGCCCAACGTAGCGGATGTTCAGCCCAACACCAAAGACAAATGTTGCTAATTAAGTGTGCATTAAAAAACAGTTAATACTGATACACCATTAAAGCCACAAGATAATGAGACTTAAATCTTTAGTCTGAAGGATCCATAAAACTGGGCATATGTTTCCTTGCCGTCATTGTGAAATAAGGATAGATAAGGGTTGCTGGCAATAATCTTTGCAAGCAGAAGAATCCCCAGTACAGTGGTGGCTCGCTTGACAATGTTAATTCATTCCAGTGAAATCGCTGTAGAGTGAAAACATCGTCAGACTAAATTTAAAAACCCATTGAAACACATTGAAAACCATTCAATGCGTTCCAATGGGCTGAATACCTGCTCATCCAGTGAAGATCCTCCATACGGCGGCCATTTTCGGTGCCTGTAAAGCAAGGAATCCATCCTAGAAAACAGCGGGGGGCCATTTTCTTCAGCCGACGGCCATTTTGAAACCCGAAGCAGGGAACTGATCATCGCTAAGCAAAATTCCCCCATTTAAACCATCATTTTGCGATTGCAAAAGCAATCGCAAAAACGTCAACGTAATGTGGATTGTTCATAGAGTGGGGGTAATCGTCCAGCGGGGCACTACTGTAACTGTATATATGCTGCCATGTTTAGCAGTGTTTTGTTGCATTGATGTTGCTGTCCTTTCTTTCTTTTAGCAAACATTCCATACCCCGAGCCTTGGGGACGAAGAGTTTGAGATCCCACCTATTACGCCACCACCTGAACTGGACCCCACCAACCTTGGGATGGCGGACCTCCTGTTGCCTTTCCAAGGCCTAAGTGATCAAATGGGTGTGCAAGGCAACGAGTTCACCCCCCAGTTTCCACCCCAGAGCTTGGATCTTCCCTCCATTACGATATCCCGGAACTTGGTGGAGCAAGACAGCATCATCCAAAGCAATGGGTTACATATGGTAGGGACCGCTTCTTTCAGTTTGCGTGCAAATTCAACTGTTGTTTGATTGCAGCTCGGAAATGTGATGTTGTGATCTGGATTGAGCTATGCGGCTGAGAAGAGCCCTCTCCAATGTGGGTGAGGAAGTCACCCAAGTACTACACTTCCCACATGATGATGGGGCCTGAAGCCAATCCTGACTTATGGCAACCCTTGCCAGGTTTTCCAAGGTGTAGAGGTAGTTTGCCATTGCCTTCCTCTGGAGGTCTCCTGGCCCAAGGCTACACAGGCTGGCTCTTCTCCCAGGAGGCACACAGTGGGGAATCGAACTCCCAACCTCTGGCTCTGCAGTCCCCAACTCAGCCAGCCACTCAGTACAGTACCATCGCGTATTAACATAGAGTCTTGTAAAATTGCTATATCTCTTATTTCAATGAATCCCAACATATTTCTCTGGTTTCTGATATTGTTGTTGAACCTTGTCTTCTTCTTCTTCTTCTTCTTCTTCTTCTTCTTCTTCTTCTTCTTCTTCTTCTTCTTCTTCTTCTTCTTCTTCTTCTTCTTCTTTCTTCTTCTTCTTCTTCTTCTTCTTCTTCTTCTTCTTCTTCTTCTTCTTCTTCTTCTTCTTCTTCTTCTTCTTCTTCTTCTTCTTCTTCTTCTTCAACCAAAAATGAAATCAAACCAAACTACCAGGACCTTTACTCTGCTTTAAGTCCACTCTGAATTGTGCTTTGTTGAGTTCATTGGGATATTATACAAGCCTGTTTGCAAGCTGCAAGTGAGGGTGCTGTGACAATCACATAAGGAGTTCCCTTTTCAAATTCCTTTCCATCTTTAATGTATCATTTGACCCTCAGACTGCTCATTTCATGTGAATTTGGTTGTGCGGCGTCATTTATATTTGCAAAGATGGCTTAATAGCCTAGACTTCCTGCAGGAAAATTAACCTCATTGTTCATTTCTTATTCTTCTGGCTTTTTAGAAGGGTTGAAACAGTTTACAGTATTATAGTGATGATTAAGCTCCTCTTGTGTCTCTTTGCGACCAGCTGTATGCAAATAAAATGAAAGAAATGTTGAAGCTTAACTCTAGTGGGGTGTGGGATGCTGAGAGCTGAAATGTAGTGGGCAACAGATACTGGTGGGAGAAGACCTCCAAAGTTCTTCATTTATTTCTGTTCCCCCTTTCAGATGGCTCCGTTCCGATTCTCCAGTTTCCCTGTCGAACATAGGGGTGATAAATGCCTGCCATTATTTATTGAAAATGTGCACTTTATTAAACTGATAAATATTTATAAATAATAAGAGTTCCTCTTTAAATTGTATATTTCGCGAATTACCTTTCCGTGCAGCCATAAAAAGATTTTTATTGCCGCAATAAAAATAAAAGTAAAAGAGGCATTTTAACTATGAAATTTCATTTCATGGTCAATTGGGCATACTGTATCTGAAAGAACTAAATATGAGGCCATAAAATAATTATGATATTCGTCTATACTTGCACAACGGGGCCCACACGAACCATCATTCTGCGTGTCTCATTTTTAATGCCTCTATGTTGACAAGTCACTAATCAGTACTGACAGAGAAATCCTACAGGTGTACAAGGAAAAATAATATTTTATCCAAACGGAAACCATTAAAGTAGCATAGCCTCCCTTTAAAAATGAGAGAAAGAGAGAGAGAGAGAGATTGATAGAATAAGTATCCTGGCTATAACACTATAGCGTTAGACAGCTATAGCATTAGACACCTTCACTGCAAATGGATGTTATTTTTAATTGGATTTATAGATTGACCCTGTTGGCATGTCCACTAGAATCTCACCTTGAAGAAATGTCATGAAATTTTGAAGCGCAAACAGAGAAGAAATGAAATGTACGTTGGCAGAGCTATGATTAATGCAGTGTGTCTCTGGCTGTATTCTGGCTACTACCTGACATGCTCACCTATAAACTTGAATGCAGAATTGCCAGAGGCATGCGTAAAAAAAAATACAGGGCATGCCAAGGTTCTCCTATGTTTCCCTCAGGGTGTAGAGCTGCATAATAGACTTTTGCAGGTTGCTCTCAGATTTGCGGGAGAACGACCACTGGAATAATAAATAATACTTTACATTCCATTACTGACTTCGGATGACTGTGTCCAGCCACCCATTTTAAGTGCAAGCAAGCTGCTTTATTGCTGAGGGGAACATGGCCTAGAAGTTATTAAAAATGACTCTACTGGTGGATTAACGTTTCTCTTACTAGTTAAACAGAACAGCAACAAAGGGTACTTGTGATGGGTGCCGACCTAGGTTTCTGTTGTAAAAAGAGTGTCTGTTTGTCATAGTGCCGATTCGTTTCATTATTATTGACGGGAAAACAAAAGCGCATTTATCTTAGTTCAATGCCTGCCACCTATTGGGGTCCCCCTACCTCATCACAATACAGTGGTGCCTTGCAAGACGAATTTAATTCATTCCGCGAGAAGCACTGTCTTGTGAAAAAATTGTCTTGCGGAAAGCGGCTTCTCATAGGAATGAATTGCAATGCATAAGATGAATGGATTTTTTTCGTCTTGCGAGGCATCAACAACAATCATCAACAAACAACCATCAACAAAACACACAAAAAGTCTTGCGAAGCACGGCCATAGAAGAAGCCGTCTTGCGAGGCATCATAGCAATTGCAAAAAATAATCGTCTTGCGGGTTTTTCATCCCACGAAGCGTTCGTCTTGCGAGGCACCACCGTAACTAAAAAAGAAAAGTACAAATATAAAAGGAACGCTCTCTAAAAAGCTATTGCCTTTTAATAATATGCCAATTCAAAACATATATTCTTAAATGAATTTACTGGAGGAAAAATTGGATGACTTCTCGTCTTGAGTTCAGAAGAGCACATGGGACTTAATGTATTGTAGAAAATATATATACCTACGCGCAAATAGATGGAAATCAATTGCCATCTGCTATCAAAAGTCATTACAGACTAAAGCACAGTTGACTGTTTAGATGATCACCTGAGAAATTATTTTAATCTACAAGGAATGGCAGTTCCAGAGACCTGGTAGTTGTACTCTATAGGGTTCCCTCTTTATATATATATATATTCTTTTCTTTTTTTCCCTCTTTAAACATCTCTCTATAATCTGCCCAGCCTGCTGAGTCGCACTGACATCAGTAGTACATCAATTTCAGAAAGTGGATTATTTTTACTAGACAGCTATTGTGACATATTGGGTCAGTCATAAATGAAAGATATTCATGCAAGCATGCAATACTTGTAATGAAGTCTCACTCTGACCTTCTGTATGATTGATTCTGTAATTTAGTTTTCTCAGGCACTGCCTGAAATGAAATGAAATCATGTTGAACAAGTTTTGAATACCCACAGTGCACCAGGAGAAGAAAAATCTGAGCCCTGGAGGCTTGAGGGGGGAGCAGCTGAACGATTTATCTCCATGCTATTATACCCTTTGCCAGCATTCAACATTTTCTTCACTTTCTCTCTCTCTCTCTCTCTCTCTCCTCTCTCTTTTCTTATTTGGCTTAAGTACTTAATTCTGCAGGTAGCTGTAAATGGGAAAATAAAATGCTGTTCAGATTTAAAATGACAGAACAGGAGTATGTGCAAGGGGCTGATAAAATATCTTGAATAGAACTGACCTTTTATGTTGCTGAAAGTTACTGGGGGATTCATCCTAATAATTACCATATAGATTATTTTTTATTTCTTTCCTGCAATGAAACATTTCAGAGAGCAGTGGTGCTGATTGAATGAAAATTGAACTTGTTAACATTCTTTTCAGCTTAGCCTGTTGTACATAACAGAAGGTTAGCTTTGATGAATTTCGAAATTCCCTTTCTGATATTGAAGGAACAGACGGTAAAATAATTGCCTCTTTTCAGCTTGCATTTATTTTATTTTTCTTTCTTTCTCTCTCTCTCTTTTTTTTAAAAAAATTTACTTCCAGGTTTTCTTTTTTCTTTTTGAAAAAAAAAATTGAGTTAACTTTCTTTCTACCCAGCCATTCTTAGAATGTGTATTTGCATGTGTTTATGTACATTTGTTTTCTCAGTGAAAATATGGTTCCCTGGTAGCAATTTAAAAATATAACAGCATATTTTTGTGCATGCAAAGTCTTGCTTAGATGAGATTAGATGGGTTTTTCTTTCTTTCTTTCTTTTGAGAGCTACAATAAATGGCTGGAATATTGCATTAGCAGAGACCAAATGGCGTTTTGAATCTCTCCAGACTTATAAGAGTCAGTTAATTAAGTAGTTAGTTACATTTTTATCCTGCTTTTCCCCCGGTGAACACAAGGGGGCGGCCAGCACTGCTGTCCCTTTATTCTCATAACAAACATGTGATATAGGCTAAACAGGAAGGGTATGTGTGTTTGTGTGTGTCTCTCTCTCTCTCTCTCTGTGTGTGTGTGTGTGTGTGTGTGTGTGTGTGTGTGTGACTGACCCTAGGTCACTCCCAGACTTCCGTGGCTTGGTGGGCTGTTCAGAATATATGTTCTCCAATCAAAAAGTTTTAATGTGAAAAATACAAGATTTTTGTGCAACCCCCCCCTCCAACTTCTGTAAAGTTTTAATCCACGAAAAGTACCACATGCACCAAAATTGTTCTCAGTTGTGAGAAAATGTGTGAAATTGGTCATTATTACTGGCAAGAATACAATTGGGAAATATTCGTCTTTGGGCTCCTATGCTATGTCACATTCCACCTACCTCTGCACCAATTCATCTTTGCATCAAAGTCTTCGCCTGGTGCTCTTCTACAACGGTGTTGAGGTGCATGAGAACGGCTGGATAGCTCAGTGGTTTAGGTATCAGGATGCAGAGCCAGAGGCCGGGATTTCGATTTCCCACTGGGCCTCCTTGATGCGGAGCCAGAGGCCGGGATTTTGACTTCCCACTGGGCCTCCTTGACAGGGGCTGGACTGGATGATCCATAAGGTCCCTTCCAGTTCTTCATTTCTAAGATGGTGTTGATGATCACCATGACCAGGAAGATGGTTCTGTTGATTGTCTTGTTCTCCTTGTCGAACTCCCTCCTCAAGGATGTGTACTCAGAACCCAAATTCGGCAGGCAAAACATCCTTATTCTTCTAGACCCTTTTTTATTACTTGAAGTGCATTTCTGGAATCTTCAGCTGCCTATCTTCTGCTGTTGTCTGACATCCAGTATTCAAACTCTCTCATCTGCTGTTTCAATGTTTTTGTTTACTAATTTTTTTTAAAAAAAGTGTTTCATTATTCCAGGCATAAGTAAAGGGCTGAGAAGGAATTCTGAATATGATTTTTGAATACAACACCCATTGACATTCTTCCCTTTTGAAAAAGATGGTTGCCATAGTATGGGGGGGTTACTAAAAGCAAGTCTGAAACCAGCGTAGACACATCGATAGAGATGGGTAGGTTCCTGCTGGAGGGGGATACCAAACCACAGATTAGCTGTTCGTTCACAAAACAAACTATGTCAAACCACCAAACTAGTGGTCCATACTCATCTCTACTCATAGAATTGTAAGAGTCATAGGTCCGAGTGGTCATTAAACAAATAGGTTGTTAAGTAAGGAGTGCCTGCATTCGTCATAACACTAATGACTGGTTACATTAGATACCTGTAAAAAAAATTAAAAAGCTATTATTTCATGAACAATATGATTCAATTATATTCAGCTAAGCCATCCATTGTCCCGTGGCTTCCAATTTTAATTTTTTAGAATAAAATTAATTGGAAAGTACTAAGAGATTATATCCAAACTGACAAATAGGCATGAATTTCGGTTATTATTATTTTATAAACTGTGTGGCTCCAATTTGTGCAGTTAATTTTCTTTCCACAATTTATTGTTAATATCTTCTTCATAATCTTGATCTGGATAAAGGGAAAGAAGTAAGGTTATAATCACAACATTACCACAAGATTGTTCAATATATTACAAACAAATAGTTATTTCATGGTTCGTTAATGTGTTTAGTGTCTGGAACTCTTTATTAAAAGAAGCTTTTGTTATTGTTATGAACGTGTTTATAGTCATCGTTAAAAGCAAGGGGCAACTAATTACTGAACACAACTTGTTCATTTATAAAAATGGTGGCTTCTCTCACTTAAAGGAGCAATTAACAGCTATGTGGGGTCTTTTCATCATTAGACACCGATCAGTTCTATTTAATCTCCTATCCTTATCTTGGATCTTATAAAGAGTTGCTGTATTTATTTTAGGCCTGTGCTACTATAACCCTCTGATTCACTCAACAAACTTTTAGTCAGTGGCAATTTATACCATAGATACATATGTACGTACATGCATACATTATACAGTTATTTGTCTTTCGTTCACAAGTGGTTAATAGATTAGCATAGGATGGGGTTAGGATTAGCACAGGATGATGATGTCAATGATAAACTATTCCTTGAACATCTCACATAGCTTTGGAAATCCTATTAGGGCCATCGTAAGTCAGAAGTGACTTGACAGGATATGGCAATCTTGTAGGATCTTGTAGGATCTGTGGTCGTTTTATTTATTTATTTATTTATTTATTTATTTATTTATTTATTTATTTATTTATTTATTTATTTATTTATACATACCCCGCCTATCTGGTCATTCCAACCACTCTAGGCGGCTTACAACATACAAAACATAACAAATATATTAAAAAGAAGATTATAACACATTTTTTCAGGGTTGGCCTCAGCTGTTTCCCTTCAGGGTTATCTAAAATATTATCTATTTTACTGACTATATAAAATGCCGTATTTTAATTGTGTGTTGTGTATGCTTCATGTTTTCTTATTCTGTGCCATTTGGAAACCTTCCATCTAAATGGCTTATAATAATAATAATTGTGCCCCAGGGAATCAATTCTGATGGTTGCTATGGGTTTTTCGGGCTCTTTGGCCGTGTTCTGAAGGTTGTTCTTCCTGACATTTCGCCAGTCTCTGTGGCCGGCATCTTCAGAGGACAGGAGTCAGAACTCTGTGCTCTGGTGCAGTTTGTTTGGCCAGTTGAGTATTTATAGTTGTGGGATCAGCTTTTGTCCTTTTCAGGAGATAGGGTGATGATGGTGATCAGCGTGTTTTTGTTGTGGATGTATTGTTGTGATAAGGGGAAGAGATTATCTGTCACTGTGATTGATGGGTGTCTTTAGCTGGTCTTTTTTGTGCAATGATCCCTCATCCACAACAAAAACACGCTGATCAGCATCATCACCCTATCTCATGCATTCCTTCTATTGCTGTTTGTCCTCATATACATAATGTAAGAGCCACCACCCCCAAAAGAGAGGGAATTTCCCAAACCACTGATGTCTGGGTCACACACCCAAAGGACCACCGCTTTGCGGATTAAGGAACACTATAGCCAGGATTCCTCTTTAGTCATTAAAATTCTTTGCAATGAACTGCTGGAGAGCTTAGTGGTTTAGGCAACAGCCAGTAATTGAGAGTTCGATTCCCACTGGTTCCCCTTGATAGGGGTTGGACTTGATGATCCCTTCCAAGTCAGCAGTTTTAAGTTGTTGTTGTTGATGATGGACTTGATGGTCCATTGGGTCCCTTCCAGCTCTGCAGTTTTAAGATGATGATGATGATGATGATGATGATGATGATGATGATGATGATGATATTGGTTCTTGTGATTATTCTAGGGCCTCCACCTAATAGTCTACTACTTACGTTTTTCAGGATCAAAACCACGCAGATGTGCCTCAATATCGCCCGGACCACTCTTTGATTATGAGGTCCATTGTCCACATGACCGATGCTGCTCGTTCAGGAATTATGCCTCCAAACCAGCTCACCACTATTAATCAATCTCAGCTAAGCACTCAACTGGGGTTGAATTTAGCGGGTGCCAATTTGCCCCACACTTCACCTTCTCCGCCTGCAAGCAAATCAGCGACCCCATCCCCGTCCAGTTCGATAAACGAAGAAGATGCGGATGACTCCAACAGAGTAAGTCATAACAGGCTTTATCAGTGTTGTCATTCTCTCTATCTACCACTTGCAAACTTTGGAGATTTTTATGTTCTTTGCGGTTGTATATTTAGAAAAAAAAGATATTTGTCTAATGTCAAAAGCAACCTTTATTTTTTCAAGAGAGTCTGGAGAACGCTGTCGGAGTCATTTTCATCTGAGATGAAACAGATATGGGGAGGGGGTGGAATAAGAAACAGAAATATCTCCATATAGTGGTCTCTTTCGGAGTTGTAAACAAGTACAGTGGTGCCTCGCATTACGACGTTAATTTGTTCCACTGAAATTGCTGTAGAACGAAAACGTCATAATGCGAAAATAAAAAGCCCATTGAAACGCATTGAAACCCCTTCAGTGTGTTCCAATGGGCTGGAAACTCACCGTCCAGCAAAGATCCTCCATAGGGCGGCCATTTTCGGTGGCTGTCTTGCAAGGAATCCATCCCAGAAAACAGCGGGGAGCCATTTTATTTACCCGCCGGCCATTTTGAAACCACCAATCAGTTGTCTGAAAATCGTTGTTTTGCGAAGAATTGGTTCCCGAAGCAGGGAACCGATCATCGCAAAGCGAAAAACCCCTATTCAGACCATTGTTTTGCAATCGCAATTGCGATCGCAAAAAGATCATCGTAATGCGGTTTCATTGTGATGCGGGGCAATCTTAAAGCGAGGCACCACTGTAGCTCGTATTTGTGGCTGGACTTTTGAGTATGTGTGCTTTTTGCATGCACACACATTTTCTGACACAGCAGTTTTTGTTTTTGTAGAAAGAGATTTGCAGTTATTAACTGTGAGCCCAAGGATTAGAACAGATCATAGAAACCTAAATAAAGAGATTGGTTGCCCAAGTTATATATGCAGAATCCATGACAAAGTCCAGGGGAGTGTTGGCCAAAATTAATCACATGGATCCATCAAATGCCCTTTCCACCAGGGCTCTGCCTACAGGCTATAGAAGGCAGCTGTAGAGAGGATTCGGAGAAGTTCAGCTGCGGTTGAAGAATGACTCTATTAATTGCTCCATGACCTGGAAAAGGAAACAAAGCCAGACTAAGCAGCCTTAACAAAAAGACTGAAAGAAGAAAGACGAGTTATTTCCTCCGCTTTTCATACGGAGTATCTTATTTCTGTAACTCATCTTACTTGCTAGTGATGTCTGTATGGAACTGTAGAACCCTTCAGTTTGGCATTGTAGTTAGAGCAGAAGGATCTAACAGGGGAAATAAACTTGTTGAAGCATTGAGTTCTAAATATAGAGGCATTTCATAGAGTTGTGTTCTTTAAAACAACATCATGAACAGCAATAATCAGGAAATGTATGGTTTCTGGTCTTCTCCTTTGAGACCATGACAGGCTTTAAAGACACCAACTTTGGCATATGGGCTAAATCCAGTTGTCATTCCTAACTAGATTAGAGTGACTAGGTTAGTAGGATATGTTAAGTCAAAATGTACATTAATCCCATTGATTCAATGGATCTGTTCTAGCCATGACTGACATGATGTAGCTCGTGATTGTCCCATGTTAGTGTGGATATGGAAGTTGGCACTCTACTGAGTTTATACAGATTTACATAATGGCCTCACATACTTCGCATGATGTTGCACATAGACAAGATTGTTCACCTGCTGCATACCCAAATCTGTTCTGGTTCTTTCACAGAATGGCTGACATCCTCTTGGTCTTCCAATAAGGTCTGTGTAGCTTGCCCATGGGTAATTTGGCTAATTGTTTGGGGTGCCGGGGAGCATCTCAGCCATGTGCTTGATCATGTGTCCAGTTGCACAACTGAGATGCACTGCAGCACCACAAAAAAGCCTCAGCAAGTTTTGCAAACCCTATGCAGACATCAAGAGGATGCTGGCCAGTGTGTATCTACACAATACGACTGTAGCACTTTAAAGTCCCATTCTACCATATTTGGGATTTGTAATTTGTTTGAGCTAATTTAAATACCCTAATGCAGTGGTCCCCAACTTTGGGCCTCCGGATGTTCTTGGACTTCAACTCCCAGAAATCCTGGCCAGCAGAGATAGTGGTGAAGGCTTCTGGGAGTTGTAGTCCGAGAACATCTGGAGGCCCAAGGTTGGGGACCTCTGCCCTAATGGAATTCACCAGAAAGCACTGAAGAATTTTAAATATGCATCAAATTACAAATTTCAGGACTCCATAGGATAAAGCCATGGTACTTAAAGTGGCATGAACCTGCTATAATCATGCACTATAGATACACTCGTAGTCACATATCTAATGCAAAGGAGCTGATGTAACTGATGGATGGCCATTTAAAAAAAATTACATGAATCAAGCACTGTACAAAGTGAACTATGTAAGGTGATTTTTTTCTTTTAAAAAAACAACATTCCATTCTAGAAATAAGACCGTGTGTTGTTGTTGTTGTTGTTGTTCAATGTAGTTGTGAATTTTTAATTACATTCCATCCTGGAATGTGCCTCTTCTCCCTCTTCTTGAATAGACCGCAGGGGAAAAAAGAGCTGCTCCAGATTCTGGCAAGAAGCCCAAAACGCCGAAGAAAAAGAAAAAGAAGGATCCCAACGAACCGCAGAAGCCCGTCTCGGCGTATGCCTTGTTCTTCCGGGATACGCAAGCAGCCATTAAAGGGCAGAATCCCAACGCTACCTTTGGAGAGGTGTCAAAAATCGTAGCCTCTATGTGGGATAGCTTAGGAGAAGAACAGAAACAGGTAATCGAGGGATGTTTCGGAGGCCATGGGGTCATGAGGGAACAAGGCAAGGGATTTTGGGATTTTTAATTTTTTTTTACTACAACTAGAAATTCCCCTAGTTAGAATTCTGATAGTTTTAGCCTTAAAAACAAACAAACAAAAAGCAGGTGCCCAGAGGAGTTTTAAGATCCTCAGCAGTTCCTGGCCAATGGCAGCATCTTGAGAGGGAAACTTCACAGAGCCTAATGAACAGAGAGACCACCCTTCCCTAATGCTTTGCACCTCCCATGGAGCTTAGAAATCTCCACCCAAATTCCATGTTTTAATAGTTGTCTAAAGAGACAGCCTTGGCATGGAACAGGTGACGTTCCTGTCTTCTTCCTTATTTTCTTATTATCAACAATATGCATCCCTTTGGCTTTACATTTATTGTTTTTAATAGAATTGATTCTTTTTATCGCTTTATTATTTTATTCCTTTTGGCCACTGGTTTTATTGTATTTGTTTTCATTGTCAACCGCTTAGGGATTTTTAAATTGAAAAACGGTGTAGAGAAATAGGTACCTCAAAGACTCTGCACTTTAGCTACACAACCAGTGGAATTTGGCTCTCTGATGACATCACTGAGACCTAGTAAAGCCTATTCAGAGCAAGACCAATTCTGTTATTCAACATTGGCTTCATTGACCAGCAGCCCTATTGAAGCTTAGTCAAATTTCATTATTTATGTGACACTTTATGGGGTGTCAGTGAAGGAATTTTTAGAACACGAATTAATATGGGGCAGGGGCATTGATAAAAGAAGCCACAAAGAAGGTAATGCAAAGTGCAAAGTCATTAGCATTTGGATAGGGTGGGTGAAGTTGGGTGGATGAAGTTGGGGGGACATTCTGAATGTCAGCCTTGTATTTGTTGCCTTCTTTGTTCACAATGTGACATTCAAATGTTCACAATAAAACATTTGGCTGAGCCCCAGTCTCAAAAAATATGAGACTTTTTAGCTGGAGGAGGGACTCATGTAATGTTGTATAAAATAGTATTTTTGTAGGACGGTCCATATCGGTATTGTTTCTTTTGACGTTGTTCATTTTACGAGACTCCAGCCTCTCTCTTTGGGCAAGAACTACTTTATGGTGTGAAGTTTATGTGCTCAAGGTGGCCTTAATTGTAAATTTTTAATACAGGTATATAAAAGGAAAACAGAAGCTGCCAAAAAGGAGTATCTGAAGGCGCTAGCTGCTTACAGAGCAAGCCTGGTTTCCAAGGTAAGAGTCCCATTAAAATAATGAACTAAAAAAAGAGAACTAAAATTTAAAAAAACTACAGTAAGATATGAAGATGATGGGACATGTTTTCCTTGTTGAAAGCTTGATATTTTATTGTTTTCTATTAAAGTTTTTACTTGGAAGCAAAACCTGTCAAATTTTTTTTTGAGCCAGTTCAGTCTGTTTAACTGGGATTGGTCATCTTTACCTTGAGTAGTCCTGTTAGCCAATAGGATTTATGTAATTTACTGACTATTCAGTGCTTGATTCCATAGATCTAGTGTAGTTGGAGTCAACAATGAGTTTTGGAACACAGATTTTAAAAACTTAGAGTCTTGTTCCGAAATGCACCCAAGGTGATTTAACAACAATAATAAATATATATATGCATACATCTACACACACAATGCATTGTAAAATAAGTGTTTTATACAAAATATAGAGCAGCTGTCAAGATTTGAAGAGCATTGTGAAATGCAAAGCCAAAGCACATAGCAACAGCCTTCATATTGGCTGTTTACCATTGTAAGCAGGATCAGAGCAGAGGTGGCCACATAACCACTTGGGATATGTGTAAAGAGGATCTCATTATACCCTTGCAGTAGCTGCAGGAGGCATAGCAGACCTGCTGTGAAAATTGAAAGAGAAGATGACAAGGAAGTGCTGCTTCTGTTGAAAAATGTTTACATCCGACAGGGCATTTCTTTGTGTTAGCAAAACAAAAGCATTTGGATTTGTGATAGAGCGTTACAGCGCTATAGAACATATTATGAGAAGCTGTAATATCAGCGTACTGAAGCCAAGGTTGTATATACTACATAATTTATTTGATGCAGCTCAGATGAAAGCCCAGGTCGTAAGGTGAGCCGTACCAAGTCGCTGAGAATATGTTCTTGATTAGAGCTCTTTTGTGTGTGCAAACATGAAGAGCTAATGATAATCGATGCAAAATGCGAACTGGAGAGAGTCAATGTGGTTTATGTTCAGCTTTTCATGGAGAAACCTGGGTTCACATTTTTGCCTACTCAGCTTTGTTCAAATGACTGGAGGCCAGGTAGTGGTGCAGGTGGGCAGGTTGCAACTGGGACAGAGGGGTGTCTCTCTCTCCCTCCAGAATCTCAGGGAGAGGATCCTTCTCTGCCATGATCACTGTCTTCCTAGCTTTGTAGGGGAGACACAGCAGCTTCTTCTCCCTCTTCCCTATCCTTTGCCAGCACTCTCCTTCTAAGCCAGTGGTTCCCAACTTTGGGTCCTCAGATGTTCTTGAACTACAACTCCCAGAAATCCTGTCCAGGACACCGAATGGTGAAGGCTTCTGGGAGTTTCGGTCCAAGACCATCTGGGAGTCCAAGCTTGAGAGCCAACCTTCACAGAGTTTGTAAGTTGAACAGGGTGGAAAAGACAGGTATCCTGAGGGGAGCTCCTTAGACGTAAGGGCGTTGGAGGTGTGGATGGTGAGGAGGAGGACTGTACCCCCCATCCATGCCCCATTTATCTGTAACAACTTCTCTCTATATATTTTTCATAGGCCGCGGCTGAGTCGGCCGAAGCCCAGACCATCCGTTCCGTCCAGCAGACGCTGGCGTCGACCAACCTGTCCTCTTCTCTTCTCCTCAACGGCCCCATCTCCCAACACGCGGCCGTGGCCACCTCGCCGCAGACTCTCCAGCAGTCCCTCCCCAGGGCCATTGCCCCGAAGCCCTTGGCCATGCGGTTGCCCATGAGCCCGATCGTGGCCTCCGTCACGATCGCCCCCAGCCTGACCACCACAAACATTTCCACCTCGCTGATCGGCTCCATGGGCACCAACCTGGTGGGGGCGTCGGCCGCGGGGGCCTCCCCCTCCCAGGCCAGCCCCTCCTTGCAGAGCCAGCAGCACCAGCTCCAGCAACTGCAGCAGCTCCACCAGCAGCACATGCACCAGCAGATGCACCAGCAGATGCAGCAGCAGCACCACTTCCAGCACCACATGCAGCAGCAGCACCTGCAGCAGCAACAGCAGCAGCAGCAGCACCTCCAGCAGCAAATGCAACAGCAACTGCAGCAGATGCAGCTGCAGCAGCTCCAGCAGATGCAGCAAATGCAACACCCGCCTCCGCAGCCATGCCCTCAGCAACATTCCCCGGCAGCGGCTTCGCAGATCACCTCCCCGATTCCGGCCATCGGCAGCCCCCCACCGGCCCCCCAGCAGCACCCCTCCGAAATGCCAACCCCGACACAGACTCAGCTGTTATCCCAGGCCAGTATTTTCTGAAGGCACCCCCTCGGGGGAGCGGGACAACGAGAGAACGGCTTTTGGGGTGGATGCGTTCAGCGAACGCTGAGCCCTTGATCCCCCGAAAACTCGGCATTGCCAATGGTAGTTATGCAGGATTTGCATAACCGATGAAGTGAGCTTCTAAGCTGTCTATTAGATAGGCAATAAAGAACTACAATGTAGCTGCGGATACTCTTTTAGCTGACTCTAAATTTTCATTTCCGATTGCTTTTTATTCTCTCTCTCTCTTTCTTTTTTAAAAGCAAAAGCTGTGCTCTTCTTTTTTCATCTCCATGCAATGCCTCTTTAATTTATTTTCAGCTTTACCTACAAATATGTGAATCAGATACTCTTTGATAAGCCTGGGCATTAAGACTGGAATATATATATATATATAATAAATGGCCTTTTTTTTTACAGTTTTTAGATGAAAACCATTCCTTCTTGCAAAATTGGTTAATGCACTTCAAAACGGTTGGTTTGAGGGTGTGTGGGGTTTGGGAATTTTTTTTTTGTTCCTTTGAATTCATGAAGCCCTTAAAAGCACAGCTGTAACTACCTGTAAAATGATGATTGGATTTCATGCAATCACACTTGCGGGAGAATAGTTGATGGTGTTATTCTCTGTCATTGGAAAAAAAATGTAAAAAAAAAAATCACAGACTTTTTAACCAAAGGTCCTTCCGTTTTTTTTTCTTTTTCTTTTTTAAATGTCTTCGAAAGGAAAGGAGTGTGTGTGTGGGGGGGGACGCTGCAAGTAGAAGTTCTGAAATATCAAACACCCATCTTCCCATCTTTGCTATAATTTCTCCAGCTACTACAGTCCTTTGTTATACAATATATTCTTATCCCCGCTCTGCTCATTCCAGTTTTAAAATAAATAAATAAATGTGAATATTTTATTCTGTGTTTGGGTGACCAACTTTCAGATTTAATACACTGTATTTTTTAAAAAAAGGAAATGCACTTAAATAAAACTGGTTATTAGGGAAGAAAGGTAAGAAGGAAAAATGTGAGGGATTTTTTTTGTTTTGTTATTTTTAAAACGGTATAATATCAGTCGACTATTTAAGAGGATTGACACGTCTGAAAAAAATCTGTAAATATTTTCTTTGAAAAGTTGTAAAAGGTTTTCATATCATGTGTTGTAAAGTTTTCATAAATGAGGCTTTAATGTAAACACTGGTAACATGAATGATTTAATTGCAACATTGCTTATTGTGTTTTTACGCTGTTTTATACTTTTTTATGAGTTCTGATAGCAGCAATTAAGTTGTTTGTATTTTGCTTATCTAAGAAAAATGCTTTTATCTTGCTATAGAATAAACACATTTCAGTAAAAAAAAATCCTATACAAATATATGCATAATTCCCCCCTCCCACTGTGGTTTTGTAATGTGGACACAAAGAAAACCGGCTAAATTATTCTTGTCAATTTTGGTGTCCTCGGCTCAGTGAAGAACCTCAATGGGGAATTTTCAAGCCCTGTGAGATTTCTTGCTTCTAGGTGAAACCAGGGGAAGGAACATCTTCCTCCCTTATAATTTGTGAAAAGCTCTATAATTTGTAAAACGGCCCTCCAGGCAAAATCAGTGTACTTTTACTTTGACAACCAAAGTGTGTGCAAACACACACACACACACACAGGCTGTGTACACACACAGAGAGAGACATGAGCACTTTCAAAAACAAACCATCTGACAATGCAGCTGCCATCCTCATTTTATGCATTTCTAGCACAGAACGGTTAACGGATTGTTAAAGAAAGATTCAAACGCCCTTCTGACATGAACACTTTCAAAAACAAACCATCTGACGATGCAGCTGCCATCCTCATTTTATGCATTTGCTCCAAAATGTGATTTTGCACTAAAGCGCTATTCGCAAGATTCGGTTTCATTTGCTGAAAAACTTCTTTTTGGGTCACATTCTCTTTTCCCAACCTCCACAAGGGATTTCTGCAAATACGTTTTCAGTTCCTCCTCATCACACACGAGGAAATGTGGTACACTCTGATTGGCAACACTGTCGCGTGTAGAGTCAACTCCCAAATGTGTAGAGAAGGATACCTGTTAATCTTCATAGAATCATAGAATAATTGAGTTGAAAAGGGCCCATAAGGCCATCGAGTCGAATCCCCTGCTCAAGGAAGGACTCCAAATCAAAGCAGATTGTACAGATAACTTTCCAATATTCTCTTGAATGCCTTCTCACCACCTCCTGAGGTCATTGGCTCCATCGTTGTAGCTTTTCCTGAAATCCATCCTAAATCTGGCTTCATGTAGCTTGAGTCCATTGTTGCGTGTCCTGCACTCTGGAGTGATCAAGAACAGATCCTGCCCCTCCTCTGTATGACTACCATTCAAGTATTTGAAAAGTGCTATCGTATCTCCCCTCCGTCTTCTTTTCTCAAGGCTAAACATGCTCAGTTCTTCCAGTCTTTTCTCCTAGGGCTTGGTTTCCAGATCCTGATGATTCTTGTTGTCCTCCTCTGAACTTACTCCAGTTTGTTGACTTCCTTCTTAAACTGCGGTGTCCAGAATTGGACAGAGTACTCTAGACGCCTAACCAGTGCTGATTAGAGAGGAACTAGTAGCTCATGGAATTTGGGGATTATACTTCTGTTAATGCCACCAAAAATAGCATTGACCTCTTTTTTTTGGATCCACATTGTACATTGTTGGCTCGTATTTAGCGTTTGTTCTACAACAATTCCAAGAAAACACCTCTTCAGAAGATGGTCTCAAACCATTGTGCCCAGGAGCACTCTTGAGTGTTAGAAACTCCGAGATGGTAAAGAGTGGCTGGACCTTGGTAGCAGGACACAAAATTCCAGGTCCAATTCTGTGGCCTCCTGTAGAAAGGAATCCAGCTTGAATCCCTGAACAGGCATTGCTCTCAGCTAGAGTGAACAATACTTGGCTAGAGGGGCCATTAGTTTGACTTGCTGCCTATATCCCTCCTGTCGCCGCCAGGGACCTGTTTGTGGCCAGTGAAATGAGATGAATTTGCAGACACTTGTACAGCGCTAGACGATGCATGGACTCTTCTCGATGTCTGATCTGTTCAAGATGGTTTTACATGAACAAACAGGACAGTAGCGTCGATGCCAGGGGCACGTGGAAAGGAACGTCCTTCACAGTGATGCCTTTGGGTCCTGCATTCCTTGAACGAAAGCAACCCAATCCCTGTGACTGCATATTTGTTTGCTTCTGAGAAGAACTCGCTTGTCAAAGATTGTGTCTTGGAGGTCTGCAGCTCATTTACAAAGCATGCACTACACACGAAGGACTCAGATTTAACCCTTAGCATCTTCTGCTCAGGCAGGGACTCTCCCGTGAAGCTATGAGGATAAGATGTAAAGCCCATGTAGACAACCCTAAGCAAGATAGACCAAAAGCTTGACTTCTGTATAAGGCAGCTTTCCTATGTCGAAAGTAATTGCGACCACAGTAAGATGATTATCTGTGGCCGTGGTGAAGTCCAGACTCTGGTTCCCCCCCCTTCCATGTTTTGGCTCACATGGAAAGCTTAGATGGATGCTAAAGTCTCCTTCCAACTGTCATGTTCTCACACTGGATGCAATGGTGAGACTAGTGCACTGCCTTCTTAGGTGTGCTTTCCCTAGAAAGGCAAAGGTTCCCCTCGACAAAGAAGTCCAGTCATGTAAGCCCAAGAGCCGGTGTTTGTCCGCAGACACTTTCCATGGTCATGTGGCTGGCATGACTAGACATGGAATGCAGCGCCCTTCCCACCGAGGTGGTACCTATTCCTCAACTCGCATTTGCTTGCTTTCAAACTGCTAGGTTGGCAGGAGCTGGGACAAAGTGATGGGGGCTCACCCCTGTTGCACAGATTCAAACTGCCGACTTTTAGATTGACAGCCCAGTGGCTCAGCGGTTTAACCCCTCAGCACCAATTGCGCTCCTATGCCGAAATTCTATTCATGTGTTTCTCAGTTCAGAGTGGGGAACACACTTTGAGGTGAGAAGCTCGCTGTAGACCTTCTGCCACCATTTTCTTTGTAGTCACCACACTGGGGATGTGCAGAACAACCCAGTTCATGTATAGTCCAGATTCTCCAAGGTTCCCCCCATGTGTAACTCCCTACACATAAGCAAGAGCCTCTCTTTCTTCATTCCCAGTGGTGTAACTCTATCCCATGCTACAACCTAGGGTTGGGGCTTAAGCACTCCTCTCCTCATTGGTTGAATAGTGCCTGAATATGACTATGAAGGACCCCTAAGCAGGGTTCTCTGGTTATGCCATACGGGCTTGGAATCCTTATTCTGAATGGTCTATTTTCTTTTGGTATTTTGACTCCCTCAGTTGGACTCTTGCTGTCTCCCAAACCTTTTCCCAGCTGGTCAACTGCCTGTTATTTGCCATACCCTGTTTCTAAAAGCTTTCCTATCTGGTCCTCAACAGAAAGAGGAAATGTCATCATGACATGCAGGATTTGTACGTATGGCATTCATACCTTCCAGGACCCTTGGGAGGCTCCCCCTATCCCCCCACGGGGCCAGCGGGGGTGAAATTGCCACCTTCTGGGACTCTTTTGAGGCTTGGGAAGCTTCAGAAGAGTCCCTGAAGGTGGTGATTTTGCCCCTTCTGGCCCCCGAGGGTCCTGGAACACACCCTATGACCCTTTGGAGGCTCATCCTGCCCTCCACAGGGCCAGAAGGGGTGAAAGTGCCCCCTTCTGGGATTCTTTTGAGGCTTGGGAAGCTTCAGAAGAGTCCCTGAAGGTGGCAATTTGGAGGTTCACTGAGCCCCCCCGACCCCCAGGGGGGCTGGGTGAGCCTCCAATGAAGGTGGCGATTTGGAGGTTCACTGGGTGAGCCTCCAAAGGGTCCTAGGGTGTGTTCCATAAGACAGACCTCTCCATAAGGCTCACCAAATTTTTAGGAGAAGAAAACAGATTATTTTTTTCCTGTTTTCTTCTAAAAATTTGGTGCGTCTTATGGAGTGAAAAATACGGTAGCCTACGATGATCCTGTACGTTCCATAGCTCGAATGGAGAGGGTAAACCTAGTCATCCCCAATAGCAGTCTAGCACTATAATACTCTACCATACACACTCTACAGTCCACTAAATTGAACACAGTTCACAGTCAAAGTGCTATGCATAAACATTCACCCTTAATTCTGCTCCAAAACTATTAGTATTAATTATTGGCACTAAGATCTTTTCTTATTTTAGCATACCTTTGTAAATCCCATCATGGACTGAGAACAAATATTGTCAATGGATATTTGCAAATGGATCCACCACTCTGCTTTTCAGCAGGCATTCAGTATTTGTGGTCTAAAGGATCTCGAGGGTTCTCATGAATTCATGCTTCGCCCCTCCTTTTTCTCTCCCACCCACCCCCTTCCCTTCCCTTGCTGGAGGAGAGCGGTCTGACCACTATCCCCAGTTGTCTTGCATGATTAATTACAGCATCTGTCCTGTCAGAAGCTATAATGAAGAGGTCTTGATAAAAATTGCAAATTATCACTGGCAACAATCTTAAACCGCTTGTGATAAAATGAAAATTAAAAACAGCAAGCGAGGCGCCTGGGTGGAATCCTAATTGGAAAGAGAACAAATCAGAGCTACAATGGCCTCCGTTGTTACTGTTTATGAGATATAAACCAGAACAAAGTGAAATATCAATCCATACAGCTTTATATATAAAGCTGCATCCAAATACATTGCAATACACATGAATCCAGCAAGAACTTTTTCATTCCTCCATTCACTTCCATAGATCTGGATACTGTGCTTACTAGCGATGGGATTTTTTGGATTTTTTTGGGATAACAAATTCATAATTCACCATTCTAGGAGGTCTCTCTGATATACAGACACTTTATAAATACTAAATGTGCCTCAGCTGTTTTTTCATTCCTCCATTCAGTTCCATAGATCTTGATACTGTGCTTACTAGCAATTGGATGTTTGGGATTTTTTTTTTTTTTTTTTTGCTTTTTCATTCCTCCATTCACTTCCATAGATCTGGATACTGTGCTTACTAGCGATGGGATTTTTTGGATTTTTTTGGGATAACAAATTCATAATTCACCATTCTAGGAGGTCTCTCTGATATACAGACACTTTATAAATACTAAATGTGGCTCAACTGGGAGAAAAGGCTCAGCTAAAAGGCCCTAAGGCTTAGCTCCACCTAGCTTCCTGTTCAGAAAAGAAACCTTTCTGTTAGCATCAGGACAAGAACAGGAAGCTTGGGGACAGCTAGGCCTAGCTAGGCCTCAGAGTCTCCCAGTTGAGACCTTTCAACTG